CCAAGACTGCCCCTCTTCTGACAATTTGGAAATCAGGCTTCCATTTCTTCTCCCAGCTCTGGACATTGCCACCGATGCTAGAAGATGTTTATACTTTTTAGGTAGTCACTGAACATCTTGCTGTCAACCCTTGTAATTTTCCCATCACTGCTGCTAAGTAACAGCGTTCACCAGCTAATCCAACCTCAACCACGTATTTTACAATTGAAAAGGTAGGACATTTTAACTGAACAAAACAATAAAAACAGAAATAACAACTTGCTGCCTCTATGCAACGCTTTTATCATAAAATGTCCTAAGGCTGAAATAGCTTTGAAGTTAGACTTGACACCACATCACAAAGAGATGATCAAAAAACTTACCTGCCTTTGCCCAAGTCCATGACTCTTTTCTTGCTTCACTTGAAACTCTCACTAATCTTTGTTTGACTATTCTAATTTGGTTTGAGCCAACTCAGCAGCAGCATGGCACAGCACAGGAGGATACAATTCAGGCTGTTGTGTCTACGCTGGCTCTCCAAAAAGCTTATGATATTGCCAGTCTCCTGCCTCTCCCAATACCCTAGCATATTATTTCTATTCAAGTAATCTTCTAATGCCCTCAAATGCTTGAACTGAAACTGCCTTCAGCATCCTTCTAGGCAGTGCATTCCACAACCGAACGACTTGTGTGAAAAACTTCTCCCATGTCACATTTGCAAATCATTTTAAATCTGTGCTCTCAATTACATTTTTGACCTGACACCTCTCACAAGCACACATACATGTAAGCCACTTGGTCCTTCAAACAAGATCATGGTTAATCTGGTCTTATCCTCAACTCTACATTCCTGCAAATCCCTGATAATCTTTCATCCCCAAAAGTCTATATGCATTTGCCTTAAAAAATATTCAAAGAATCTGCATCCACTTTTGAGGGACAGAAATCCAAAGACTCTCAACTCTTAGAATTTCTTTTTCTCTCATTCCAAACAGGTGACCCTTTATTTTTAAACAATGACCATTAGTTCTAGGGGTTTTTTTTCCCTTTTAATTTCTATCTTTTTTTTCCCCACATGAAACTCTGGATTTGTTTGCTCGTTTTCTCTTTTGAGGAAATATACCTTGACTGTACACAAATCACCTCCTTTTAAAAGGTACAGCTGGTTTTTCCCGACAACCTTCAGTCTAGACTCTGTAACCCAGCTCCATTCTTGCCCCAGTGAAGTCATTCTCCCTCACTTAATCATTCTTACATTGGATTGCCTACTGTCCTTTTCATCATCATCCAAAATCTTATGATACAATGGTCAACATCTCCTAAACATTACTTCACTGATATTCGATTTACTTACTCACCTAATTTCTAAGAACCAGGTGTAGCAGTGCATCTTTTCTTGTTGGATTGGATTCATAGTGATGTTAGAAACTTTGACTAATATCTAGGAATGCTAGATATTTGCTCCGCTCCTTACACTATCACTATTCCAGTCAACATTTGAGAAGAAGTATCTCATTGTAACTACTTTATAATGTTGGCATCACTAATTTTCCTGCAGATTTGCTCCTCTACTACCTTCCCACAATAGATGACACTGAGTAACGTAATTGCACCATTTTTTGTCCTTAGCTGTACCCAAATCGATTCCATTTGTAAAATTTCTGGAACTTCCTTTGTCCCCAGCACTGCAACACTCTCCTCAAGTCAATAACTTCACCTCTCCTTTCTCCTGATCTTTTCTGAAAACTTTATACCAAAGGTATATTTAATTGCCCTTCCTTGAGCTAGGTCACTTGTTACCATCCCAATATATTTTCACATGGCAATCCCTTCTTACTTATTAAATGCGAGGCATTCACAGAAATGCACAATAACCCTGATTTAAACCTCATTACTTTCTCCCCTACTCTGATTGCATCTATTGACTTTCTATTCTCTACATTAATGCTATCTATCCTGTGCACCCTGGTACTCCCAAAATATTCTTTCTTGATTCCCACAATTCTGTCAAATTAAAGCCCTCCTAGCAGCACTGGCAAGAACTCTCACAAGGATTTCAGTCCCAGCTTTGTTCAGGTACAACCTGCCCAGTTTGTACAAGTGTTGTCTTCTCCAGATACAATCTCAGTGCCCCAGGAATCTAAAGCCCTCCCTCTTGCACCATCTTTCCAGCCAAATGGACAAGGAGGATTAGTCTACATTCTCCCAACATAATACGATGGAATTTGCGATTTCAGTAACAGCTATTTTGATAGTGACAACAGCAAGAACAAAGGGATTCAAATTCAAAGATGGGCACACATTTTGGAGGTGACAGCAATCATCAATGCTATTCACTCAGAGGAAAATGGCCAAAATTAAACCCTTGAAACTCCAGTAACTATGGTGCAAGATTGAATTTGACATTAATACTACAATTTTAAAAGAGCATACCTTAAGATCTATTGACAGTGGGGATATCATGAAATAATTGCTAAATACATAAAATATCTTGCACTTAAAATACATCTGCTATGCTTAGTGTCAGACTTAATTATGCACCATGAGCATCTGATTGACTCAATGTCTGACTACACAAGTGAAGAACATGTCAATAAAAACACAGCACAGTTATGAAAACTACTAGTGAATAATCAGTAAAAACACATTCAAATAAAAACCATCATGGATAAGAGCATTGATGAGATGGCTCAAAGAATCCATTTCAAAATTCTTTTGGCCATCTTTCTTTTCTAGTGGTCTGGAAATACAAAGCACTCAAAAATATTTAGCATGATTAACACCAATTTCATGTAACTGCTTATTCACGCTATAAAAGTAAGCCTAATAAGCGTGTTGGAGCAGATGTGAAGAACGTAAAGCAACAGGAACAAAAACAGAAATTGCTGGAAAAACTCAATAGGTCCGTCAGCATCAGTGGACAGAAATCAAGAGTTAATGTTCCTGGTCCGGTAACCCCTCTTCAGTAAATAGAAAATTTTGTTTCTCACAAGGACGTATTGCTTGGAGATATCTTATCCAATATCAATTTTTCATTTATTTATACTTCCTAGTAAAAGTAAATAATTACTTTTCCTTTCCATTTTGCATTTGAAAATAATAAAAGTGGAGTAACAATAATGTGCATGGCTCTACTTACTTTCCATATGATTGATAAATTTATTCAGGCCAATTTTTTTTTGTTTTATAGGTCTTTGACTTAATTCCAATATTAATCCTTGCATCCCTATATAGCCAGTCCTTGAACAGAATTTCAAGTTCACTGGAACTTCAATTAGATCGTAATTTTAATAATAGCCCATCAATAAATCTTACTTTCTTTTTGTAAATATCTCAACTATTATAATGCTCCAAATACCCCAAAATTATTTCAAATTTGTTTACATCAACAGTATATCTGATACATCCACTGGACCCTTGGTACTCCCATTATTTCTGCCTGACACATTGCACTGAAAAATGACGAGAGATGAAATTCAGAATACACTCTTGCAACATTGACTGTTCAGGGAATAGGATAACAAAGCAAAATCTTAGGGGAGGCAATGGCCCAGTGGTATTATCACTGGACTGTTAATCCAGAGACCCAGATAACATTCTGGTGACCCGGTTTGAATCCTGCCATGGCAGATGGTGAATTTGAATTCAATAAAAATATCTGGAATTAAGAATCTAATGATGACCATAAACCCATTGTTGATTGCCAGGGAAAAACCCACCTGGTTCACTAATGCCCTTTAGGGAAGGAAACTGCCATCCTTACCTGGTCTGGCCTACATGTGACTCCAGACCCACAGCAATGTGGTTGACTCTGGACAGGGATGGACAATAAATACTGCCTAGCCAGTGACATGCTCATCCCATTAATAAATAAAATCTGTATCATCTCTTAGGAGCATGTTTCCCAATGCAGTTTTCTATTGATTTTCTGATTCCTAAATAACCAGTTGACTTTCATGACAAATCTTGGAGTAAAACAGGTTCCTGCATTAAACCATAGGTGGAAAAAATAAAATCCAGAGATAGCACTGATTTTCTCAGAAAACAAATTCTCTTGCAAATTTCTGGGTAGATGGAAGTCAACACTGCTCTGCCAAAATTTATGAAGCAAAACTAATGGATGCACTTTGACTGCACCTGTTGCTTATGAAAATTTAAGAGTGAAACATATTCACAAAGAAATGCTAACTAATGACCAACTCTAAAAAGCAGTAACATTGTGAATTTGCTTTCCCGAAAGGTCAACATGTTAACAGTACAGTTTTAATAAATGCAACACCATGCATTAGCTTGTAATGTTTTCCAGAACATAGTTACTTTTACACTACCGTGAACTGGAAAAATCTTATGGACCTTAAATCGACAACAAAGAGTATTTCAGTAAATGCGGCAGAAAGGACAACTTTAAATTCTAGTTGCTGATTTGCATGGGAGATTTGTTAGACTCCAAGCAGTTTAAAGTGCTATTATAAAATTAGTAGTTCAGCACATGATACCATCAACCTAAAATCAATTTCCCCTTTAAGTGTTTAATTTTGATCTTTTGATACTCCTAAGAGATGATACAGATTTTATTTATTAATGGGATGAGCATGTCACTGGCTAGGCAGTATTTATTGTCCATCCCTGTCCAGAGTCAACCACATTGCTGTGGGTCTGGAGTCACATGTAGGCCAGACCAGGTAAGGATGGCAGTTTCCTTCCCTAAAGGGCATTAGTGAACCAGGTGGGTTTTGATACTCCAATTTCCAACATTAAAACACGATAACCTACTGTTGACAAGTGCAAGGCTTTTATTCAATTACCCCAACTCCAAAATTGACGAGATGGATAACTGAACCACAATGCTGGGACTATGTGGGTTTGAGGCCTTAACCAGAACGAATGACAAGTATGATCAGCATTAAGCACAGTTCCTACACGAATCAGGCACTAACAAACACTGAGACTGATGCAGCCGGTAGTGCTCATCGTTCATTGCTATTTGTATATTAAATGCAAAACCTCTTGTGTCTCTACAGATCTGCCAAAGTAGACGAAACAATGCAGGTACTTTACCGAGCAGGAAAAGGAGATGAAATTGGACTTTAATTGGAAAATGTGGAAAGGTGACAGAAAACTTCACTCTGGAGCTTAAGGCAGTTTGTGATGGAGGAAAGAACAGGTGGCTTAGGAAAAGTGACTTATTAAGAAGCACAAGGATGGATGAAAGCACTTTCAACAACAGTAGAGTGGAGGGAGAAGGATTCAATAAAGCTTGGGCTAGTCAGTCATTTACAAATTACAAATCAAAAACAAGGACTGGGCATATATTTAAAACAAGGGCAAGTCTCCAGGTTACAAATAGGTTCCAATCCTGAGTATATTCGTAAGTCAATTTGTACACAAGTCGGAACAAAATACATGATAAAATAGCTGTTCATTAGTATGAGCAAACTGTCAAGTCAGATCTTTAAAATTAATATTAAATGTGGGATCTCATTTGTAGGTAAAAGTGTTCGTATGCTCATTAAGTGGGAACTGCATGTAGTTACCAAAACAAGAGACAACCAACTTTAAACATTGTCTCTCAATTTAAGAGTTCTTTGGTATATATCTCCCTTTAAATTCCAAGTTATGGAATTGTTTCTTTTATAATTACAAAAGCAGTAGTTGGCAGAAGTGAGTTACTTTTCTGATTCACTTTTGTGCACAGCTGAATAATCAAAATGGTGCCAGAAATGGCATATACAGCATGTTCTGAAAACCTATGCAATAAGGAATTAAAAGCAAGAAACATTTTGAAGTATTTTAATGTTTTGCCAGATGTCTGAAAAAAAATTATAAAAACAGTTTTGGCAGTTAGGTTTAATCAACACTACAAAGAAAAATTCTATAATTATAAAAAAAAACAGAACTAAACAAGCACAAGGTAACTGCATAAACATTTTCAGGATGCCACAAAATTCAGAGATAAAGATGAATGCCAACAGATCAGAAGTAAATAAATATTTATTTCAATTTTGTTCTCTTCTGTTCGCACAAGCTGTCAAATAACTCTTGCTGTTAATAAATGCTATTGTAACCAATAACTGATGTGACTAGGAATGTGTTTAATATCATGGCTTTTGAGGTAGGCAAGATGGCCACATCGTTTTGTTTAAAGACAGTAGTTTGAATTAAATTTAGAGCATAAATTTAAAGCAAAATATTCAAATGTGAAATAATGCAAATAGCACCAGGCAGTATTATTGAAAGTATGCAAATTCCAAATGGGTGCAATTCCTCCAGCTGTTTTTCAAAAAAAAAGTTCACATTGACATTCACATTGTTGGTGAGATGAATTTCACATGGTCTTATGTTAGCTTCAACCACAGCTGCGCCACGAATCTGAATATCAGTCAATCCAGGCGGTGGATTCTTCAGGAACATGGGCTGAGATGAGCAGATCTCCTACATGTTTTGCCTCTGTGTGCATTGTTGTGTGCCATAGAAGTGTTAGGAAGAAAAATACAATGATTTTTAAAATCATCCGATGTATTCGTTTGTTTAAAAGACAGCTTTGCATTTAAGCTCTTTCAAGAGAGCAATGGATTGGAGAAAGGGGACAAGGGAATGGCGGTGGTCAGGAACATGAAGGAAAAAAAAATTCAATGGCTGGATTGAAAGAGGAGGTTTAACTCAATTGGTATAAAATTCAGAACTGAAGTCAACAAAATCTGCTTGAAATAAGCACCTACCAGTATTAAATCATGTAATTCTGTGCTCATCCCACACATGCAACATACATCATATAATATCCAAATGAGTTACATGTTTTCAAAGAACGGGTGCTTCAAAGCCTTTTCTGCCGTTATCCTAGTTGCTGGATTCAAATCTAAAAGCTTGTCTAGAAGGTCATATGCTAGGTCTGGAACTCTATTCCAGCCCTTTGTATCTGATGATCTAGCTGTGCTTTTGAAATCAGAGTCCCCCTGAATATCCTGTTTGACTGTTCTTGGTTGGCTGTGAAACTCTTCTTTATATATCAAGGAATCAGTCTTTTCATCATCCTTTCCAGTTGGACCTGGTACATTGCCAGCAATACGTAATCCCTCCTTTGGCTCAATTTTTTGGTTTGATATTCTTTTACTTGAACAATCTGTTCCTCGCAGTCTTTCACACAAAGTCTTCAAATCCAATTTTGGACATTCCTTGCTACATGAAACAGCTTTACCTAAAAAAAGTTGAAGTGAGTTAAATCTTTGACATACAGCAGCATACTTTGTACATAATGAAAGTATAAATAGCAACAGATTTTGTGGCATTTAATAAAAATCTACATTAAAAAGTACAGAGTGCTTTAAGCCATGGGTTGGCAGTGCTAGAAATATTAATTCCCATCCTGATCTGGTCTTCAACTCTGTAAAATGTTCAACCACCCATATACAAACAGATTACTATTACCAATCTATGGCAGGCTGATCTAGGAGAATACACTTAACATACTGTAAAATTTAGGCTGTTGTCTCTATCAACTTAATTAGCAAAGGAGGTGGTCACCCCTTGTACCATATCACCACCCAATATCACACCCATCCTATTTTTCAACAATACCTCTGTTGGCCATTACAAACTCCAACCTACTTTTAAGCATATTCATATCAATAAATCAAGAGGATCACAATGCACTCATGTTTCATTTTCCTAATATGCTGTTCATTTCAAAACAAAGTTAAGTGTCCATGATTGTTAGGATTGCCAATTTTACACTTCACACAGGACAGTGGGTTTTCCTTTGGCAATTCCCCTCTTTTTTTTGGGAGGGAAGGGAAGGTAGCAACAGAATAAGTGGAATTTGGCAGAGGACTGTCTCATGCAAAGTGTCCTAATTCCCAAGGGAGTTGACCATAGGCATTCTTGCATTGCAGTTGTACCAATCAAGGCAGGTTTCATACAGGGGCCAGGTTGGTCCAGTAGTACCATCTGCTGGAATCAATTTTCAGAAGCAACCCAACAATTTCAGACCTACAAGTAAGCCTAAAAACCGAAAGAACTGCGGATGCGATAAATCAGGAACAAAAACCAAGTTGCTGGAAAAGCTCAGCATGTCTGGTATTAGCTGAAGGAAAAAACAGAGTTAACGTTTCGGGTCTGGTGACCCTTCCTCAGATC